CAAGGCGACATTTATGAACGCCTCTCTGTTTTTGTCTCTCAATTCGAGTAATTCCACATAAAGCGTATTTCTAAAGAAAGTTGCCATAAAGATGAGTTTGTATTCTACAATATTTTACTCGGTGCTTCTCTTAGAGTCATTTGTTCGATTAAAGAAAAAATATATAAATCAACCTTCACAAATAGAAATTTTTGAAAATTGGATTGAAAAATGAACTAATTGCAGTTCAAAATAGTGTTAAAATATCGCACATTTGCAAAGATGAAAACTGTAAATGTCTAAAGCAAGGATCTTACTTTGGCTTAGTATTATTTATTATTATTATTTCATTCATTTGAAAGTTTAAAGCAAATATTTTGGTATTAAATCTGCAATAAGTTATATCTCATGTGTTCTGTATGAGTATACGTTGCCCAGGGTGCCCCATGTAGAGGTAAGTCTATCGTACACTCCATATATTTAAATATAAAAATAGATTGAACATATTTATATGTGTTGAATACTGACATTTTTACTTTTGTTTAAAAGACTAAACGAACTTTATACTGAAAAAAAGTTATTTGATTATGGCAAATATCCTTTTATGATTCCATAACAATTCATAAGGAGAATACAAACGAAAATATATCATGTTCTAAAATTTGAAAGCTAAATATTTCAAATAGTAAAAAACATTACTTATTTTTATATTTGTGGCATCTTAATATACCAATTCGACTTGGTGAAATATTCAGTGTTCTATTTAGAAGTCTTTTCTTTGGCTCAAAATATTCACGTGAATTCATTTTAAGATTCGATTTGACAATTTTCTAGCAGGTCTTTGGGAAATGTGTAATTAATTTTTTTGTATTGTAGTTTAATTTTCAAATGCACGGAGAGCACGATAGATCATTCTTAGTCATAATGAATAGCTCTATAGGATTTTAAATGCAGCAAACCACCAAAGAACTCTATTTCGGGGTTGAGGTTATCATGCATCCCCAATCGTTTTTTTGGATTCTTTCCAGACTCTTTCCTCAGTTACAATTTAAATTCTCCCAGAGAGATTTGCTTAGCATAAGCATTTTTAATTTGTTTATAACAACATAGCAAACGTCTATGGCGTTTTCTATTAACATTGGCAAGATTTCTGACATCGTATTTTCGAACTCCCAATCCCTGTTATTATATTTGCCATATTTTTTAAAGGAATTAAAATATATATTATTTTTTTAAATTTTCTTAATTAACTACCTTATTATTGATCGTTGGCGTGCTTATTTCATTCCTTGGGAGACAGAATGGAAATTCTTAACAGTACTTAAGGTGTCTAAAGTTTCAATATGGATTTTTATCAGACAGTTGTTGGAATATTCATCTTCTCACTATTAATACCTGCAGGGTAGCTCCCAACCTAGGCAAAACCAGAAGCAATTTTCATACAAACTTCTATATTTCATTACCCAATCACATATCTCTCTCTGACATTCCAATCATTTATTATCCGAGTTGTTCCGACCTACGCAATCATCCAATACATTACAGGTCCATCTCAACATATAAATGTTGGTAATTAGGCATTGCAATTACTCAATTTCGATATTAAAAGAGTAAATATTTTCTTTTCTACTTGATCCTCTCCTGTTTGATCTATACAGTCTTTACATGGGTGCAACGTTGAATTCATCAGCAGTCTTCTCGAATATCCCCGAGTTCTGCAATGTCGACATGTCTGCTAGATTCTATATCACAAATACTCCGCCAAGTAAGCCATCTTGACTTATAAATATTATATTGCATACTCCATTACTAGTTTGATATAAATAATAGCGCACAAAAGCGAAATGTGTTGGTTTTCCAAAAAACATTTTTATCAAACAAGCATTTAAAAGAATATTGAGGAAACACTAGCAAAATTAATAAACATGTTACCTTTGCGCATTTAAGTAAAAAGTTCAATATATGCGTACTATTTTATCATCCTCACTTTTCGAAATGTATTGGATCTTAATGATGTGAAAAAAAGAAAATGTATTCGCTCAGTTTGGTACCACATTTTTAGACTCGCTTGGCTTTGAATATTTACAAGATTCATCGAATCACTTTATCAAATATAACCAAGGTTCATAATATTTCTGATTTATCCCGATCTGACTGCACTCACACATATTTTCTGCCCAAAATTAGCTCCTCAAATACGTTTACTCACATGACCATTTCGGAGGTCTATTTGCACGCAAAAAGTGATAATAGCTTCACTGAAGGCCACTTTCAAATTTCGTGCCATATGGTTTCAATCGAGATGTTGTCGAACCCTGATTGCCTATATCAAGATTGATTTAGGATTGTTTCATTCCACCTTGATCTTAAATGTTACCCTTTTGTAAGACATTATTGCTAGTATTGTTGGATTTGCCCATGTTAAACGGATATTTACTGACAAAAACCATTTCTGAACGGCACTACAAATAATAATTTTATTATTTCATATTGTAAAGCGATGAGACCTGAATTATTTGCCAATACAATCTACAACTTGGTGTCTCTAGAATTTATTGGTGAAAACCATATTCAAACGCATCCAGGCAATTTAAGTAACACTAAATTGCAATATTTTCCTTGGCTCTGTGCTTCATTCCTTACAATTTCCCACGTATGATGTATCAATTTTCAGTGCAAAGAAACCTTGGGAAATCTTGGAGATGCACATTTTTCAAGAAGTTAGATGGGCACTTAGTATTAAGAGAATAAGTTGAAGAGGATTCCTTAGATTTGGCAAATTTAGCTAGAGTTGGCAAAATTAGCGCTTCATGGGGTTCTTTATTAGAGAACTAATGCTAGTAAATTCGAGAAAAGCAGTGGATTAGCATCGAGAGTAAATGACATGAATATGTAATTTCTATAACTTGTTAGTTTTTTATAATTTGGTTATTAATTACGATAGTAAAAACTTTAGCACAGTTGATGTTATTGTTTTGTTATCGATTCGCCATTATTTTATACTCTAATACGCTGAGCCTTTATTTAATTTTCTATAAACCGAGTGACAATTTGCATTAAATAGTAGTTGAAGGCTCACAAATTGATTCAACATGAGTTCATTTTGAGCCATTTTTTTCGTTTTATCTGACAAAATGAGCTTTCAAATCAATATGTGGCATTATATTTAATGTATCTTTGCTTGATTAGCAGCAAACCCTTTTTCATTCCATTCATTGTATTGAGCTATTTACCGTTGGTAAAATGCAATTGCCGTTTATTCTTTTTTTCTAAAAATAATGAGTGTTTGCTTTTCAAACGCTGTTGCGCTCTGACAAATGACCAATTGCAACCAGTTCACCACAAAATTTAAGAAGTTGCGCTAAGTTATGGCTTAGAACTCAGACAGATTTGCTTATGTACAAAAAATTAAAACTCATCAATTGATTTAAACAATTAGGAACACAAATTTAACTACAACTTTTAGTTGCCTGTAACAGAAGGTTTCAACTGAAATCAAGACCATTCGAATAAGTATGCAGGTGGTTTGATTGGGGCACTTTTGGTAAATTTTATGAACAACATGCACTTTAAGTAAATGCCACATTTACGAGAATATTTTTTTCTCGATAATTTAGTACCAAACTTAAATTATGATTTGCCTTTATTACATTGACAAGATGTTATCGTTTCATTTTCATAATTCAGTAATTTCACGTATTTCTGAATGCTATTCGACACAGACAATGATAAAGAATTCATAGTAATATTTTACCTACTAATGAAACATAAAATTGTGCTAAAGAGTAACCAACTAAACATGGCCTTTACTTAAATGAACAAAAATCTTTAGATTCACAAAAGTGAAATAAATTTCAAAATATTAAACTTTTACTAATATCATACGATATTTCTTGTGTATATTTTAGGTCTTTAAAAATCGACTTAAAACAAAATTAGAAAGGCTGATTACCATTAGATCATGAAATATTTTCATCTTTAAAAACCTTCGTAATTTATAAAATATTGCTATAATCAAATATCAAACTGACCATCCTAAACGAACCAACTGACATTTCCATATAGTAAAAATAATGGTTCTGAAATTGTAAATGTTTGGCAAATGTGCATAAATTATCTGCTTGACTACATTTGACACTGAATATCTTTGCCTTTCGTCAAGGACTTCGTTGTGCCTGAGTTTCGTCTCACATTAATACAAGTCACAATAAATCAATAGGGAGTTTCATTGTTGAAATAACAAATCGTAAGCCTCCATTTCGTTCACTAGGAGACGCGCTCTTTAATTTACTGTCTTTAACTAGGCTTGACGAAATTCAGGTAATAAAAGAACATTTTGAGCATGCCCAATTTTCATTTAAATCGCCAATACATTAAAGTCATTTGGTGCAGTTGCTCGTGCCAGTTGCTATGCAATTTCTCACCTATTTTGTCAAAACGAGCATTCTCTTTGATATGATTATTGCCCATTATGTATCTGTCGCAGTTGCAAGTGGCATTGATGTAAGGAAACAAGCCAACTAAGGGATGAGATTTCAATGGCGCCTTTTTGAAAATCATTTTACATGATGGCCACCTTGCCTCATTCGTTGATTTGATTAAGAGGGCAAGAAGTATGAAAATGATATTCGGTTTTACATTAGAGCGTCAATGAATCTCTTTGGTTTTAACATAATTATTTCAAATTAATTTAAATTAAAAAAAGTTGTAATAAATTGAAATGCGTAATTATCTTTTTCTCAAATGGCTATTTTATGGTATTTTTTTATTTATTCTTAGGCTTACCTCAATGAAATTGATCGTCGATTTTCACCAATCAGATACCATGTTCATCGAAACTGCCATTGAGAGAGCAGTCTTATAGGATTTATGCTCAAGCAGTAGGTATATATTTAGTTACTGAATTTCAAGATGGTTTTGTTTTATATAAATATTTTAGTTATTGCATAATGAAAGCAATTTGTAGTTGGATTTTCATCACGATTTACCTACTAATTAATGCTATTGACGGATCAGAACAAATGATCGTGCCAACGGATTTACCGGTTGGTAGTGACGGTTCCAATATGAATACAACAGAAAGTAACGAAGAGGAAGAAGAAGAAGACGAAGAGGAAGAAGAGGATGATGACGATGATGATGATGACGACGACGATGATGATGATGAGGACGATGATGAGGATGAGGATGATGACGACGACGATGATGATGATGAGGACGATGATGAAGATGAGGATGATGACGACGACGATGATGATGATGATGAGGACGATGATGAGGATGAGGAGGATGAGGAGGATGAAGATGAAGACGAGGAGGAAGAGGAGGAGGATGAAGATGAAGATGAGGAGGAAGAGGAAGGTAAAGAAAAGGATAAAGATGGTGATGGCGTTGGGTCAACTGACGTTATTCCAAAATAATTCTGAAAGCGTCACCGAGATTGATCATGATAACAGCATGTTTACTCTAAAAAGGACGTCAATTTATTGTACTTCATATTGTTCTGTTTAAGTCATTTTGCTTGATTCAATTACTAAAAATGCTATTATTGTGCATTTTCACGTAACATTAGTATTCCAATATTTAAAGGAAACAGTTTGCCTTTACTTCAGACTTGGTGGGTTTCATTTTCTCAAAATTTATTTGAATAAAATTATTATTCGAAAAGAATTTAGTCATTAGGTTTTGTTATGTTTAATTTACGATGGGCATTTAAGCACTTGTTACCTTTGTATTTTGGTCTGTTACACCTACATCTCGATAAAGGCATGGTGATTTATTTTCCAATGACTTATTATATTTAATAACATATGGAATAATAAAATAATGAAAATAAAAATTTTACTTAGAGGCTTCTTTAAGAGTTAGCCGTATAATGAAATTGTATTTTTAAATTTTCCAACAAATTATAAGGCTTTTAGGTGAAAAAAGGGCCTGAAATAGTTGCACAATTTTTAAAGTTGAGAAATTGTTCGTACACCGTACAAATTTAAAATTAACTAATGATTCGAAATAATTCAGGGTTCTTTGAGTAATTTGATTCGTTTTATATTGTATACGTCAAAGTAGTACATTAGTCATCGCGCCCCTTTGCCATATCCATTGTCATAGATTCGAAACCTATTGTGGTCTACCTAGTTAGAAGAATGGACTTCTTTGATGGCAACTACTGCCCCCTATGAATTCTAGAAATGCGTTCCTAACTCTGGCTAGCATTCCATTCTATTTAATATTTGTTTAGAGGTCAATTATGGTGAGAAGATCCCATTTGAGATATATTTTTCCAAACCTTGCATTATTGAATAACTTGGAACATAATACAAATGAAAAGCCTTATAGTGATCTATTGCATCATCGCCTTTGAAAATACGTTGCAGCATTTACCAATAGATGTTCGATTTGATATCAATTTCTACACCAGTATCAAATTTCTCTCATTTTATGACACCATTGCGTTTTTTCATATTGGTTTTAACATTGGTGATCCTATTACCTTACCTTCAAATATACCGTTTCGCTATCAATTGGAGCATTTTTTGTAGATTTACCCTCGGGCGGACTATTGAGTAGGTTTTAATAAATAATTTAAAAACTTTTTGTCAATTTTAAAGTTAGTACAAAATTCACACTTGTTTATCGATTGAACAATTCGATAACTTATTCTAAGTGTTATAAGAAGATTGGCAAACAAGCTATCCATTTTGAAATGATTTTGCTAGTAAGAGTATAAGTGGTACTCGTTCGGATACTGTATATACAAATTTAAGTAAAAACAAGAACTTGAATTTCTGATATGGTCAATTAGAATACAATGAGTTTATTAAACTTGGTTTCCATTAACTGAAATTTAACTAATCTACTACTTTACTCAATCGGATCTAAATTCAATTCAAACCAAATTTTATCTTCCCTCATAACTGTCTAACTTTTGAGGGTGATAGATGTTGAATACATTTATGAATAACCAATTTTACGCCATGAAGGAAAGATTTCTCGTAATCCAATAGTAGTAGTAATGTATACACTTGTGAGGACTACTAGAATGTTAAAACAAATGCATTAGCAGAATTCGAATTTAAAATGTTTAATGATTAATTATGAAGTATTTCACATCATATGTGGCAATGTTACTTTATTTAACTCTTTAAGTCATTGTCACTTTCATCTTAAATAACTTTAGTGTTGAAGGCCATTTTGGGTCGTTTTTGCCAATTATAGTTCAAACAGAAAACTTTATTTCAATATGTATTATCCACCGTTGCAGAAAATATTATATTGTAAAAATACGCATCAAAATTTCTAAATATCTAGCGCAAAATGCAATGGCTGCTCTAAGAACCGCTTCGTAAATATAAAAAAAAATATAAATCAGTGACGAATTCTGGCACAAATTTAATCCCAACGGAAGCGCTCCCTATCCATGGAGATTTGAGCAATAACTCCAAATCACAAATTGTCTGCTTCATAAATACATCATACTGAAGTAAATTTTTTCCCGTAAAAGTAGCTGCTCGGAAATAGTTGATTTCATTTCCATCACTAGTATATTGCGCAATCAACCAAAGCAAATCAAAGTTAAAAAATTTGTAACTGTGTAATTAATGATCCAAAAAATACAAATATATCTTTATTGTCACCATTAATAGCAATTATCTCCAGCTATTTAAATGAAATACCAGAAGGGGAATATATCGAACACACTCCCATACGCCCATGCATTAAACTTTAATATCATGAATAAGCACCAAAAGGTTCGTTTGGAACACTCCAACCAGACATATAGACTGACGGTCACTATCCAAAAGTAAAGATTTGGAAACGTTGGTTGAGTGGATCTAACAGAAATCTCCTTTCTTGCCTTAGGTGGACAACTAATGAGTTGGTTGGTAAATGATGAATGAATTGTTCATTAATCAAGATGGAGTTTTCAAATCAAATCTATTTTCGTGAATTAGTCTTTAAACTATATGCCATGCAAATTTGCTTCCTTAAATAATTAAATAAGATAGTTTCGTTGTTCAAATGAGTTGTGGTAAAGAGATTTTGGTAAGTAAAAGGATTGCGCTAGAAAACCAACATGCTACTTTTTTTAAAAATATATAAGCTTAAAAGATAGAGAGTAAGAAGCAGACCTAAAATAATAGGATTGCAAAGAAATACAATTTAATCAGAGTTTAATTAGCCTTCACTCAGACCTCTGTGTCAGTCAATGCGCCATTCAATAATTAAATGGTTTGCGTGATTGGCAAATCATCAACGCTTTAATAATTATTTTACATCTACGCTATATCAAATGCTTTTAAATCAAAAGAAATGTTTCGTTTTAATTGTTAAAGGAGAACATTTTCAAACGCAAATGCTTATTTCTAATATTTTAAATTCGTCAAGGTTTAAGGAATCTCAAACCGCTGTTAATGGGTATCTCTTCTAATGCCACAATATCGTATGCAGGCAGGACAGAAAAATACATGTCATTGGTAGGAAAAATAGTGGCAGTGGCACTGCTCAGAAAACGTTTGATCAAATTTTACATAAGGTCACAGGGAAACCAATCAGAAAGCGTTTTGCTCTGTTGCTTTTGACAGCAATGTCACTGGTCCTTTAGATTTGCTTGCAATGCTAACATGACTTGGCAATTTATCAACTCAAACAACGTTGATATGAGTTGCATATTTTGTCAAAAGTACTTTTCTCAATATCTTCGTATATCAATTTAGAATTCATCGCACTTTGTGCTCTCCACAGGTAATTATAACAGGAAATTTCATAAAACCTAAGTCTGAGAGATGGTTGCCGTAATTTTAAGATGATATTTAATATTAAATTTAAATACTTTTCTTCTAATTTTCAGGTATAATGATTAAAAAATATATATAGGCAGATCACACCTTCTAGTTTACATACATTTACCTATAAGCCAGTTTTGCAAAAGCAATTTCGAAATTAAAGTTTCTATTTAATGTATTTTAAGAGTCTCGTAGGCAAAATTTTACTTATTTCTGTGAATGTTTCAGTCACTGAATTTTTTTTTAAAAACGCCCATTGATATAAAAGAGCTGTAATACTTGCAGCACTATAGGGTTTTCACTATAATAATAAGTTGATGCAAAATTGAACCCTAGACTACATATTCAGTCGAGAAAAAACAAAATTACATGACAAAAGAAATATATTTCCTGGAACAGCCTTTAAAATTCACTAAACTTTCAAACTGTTATTTGTTTCCATGACTGTTTGTTTTAGACTGTATAGCAATAGCGAAAAATAAGGAAAGAACGCCAATTAAATCGAAACCGAAATGTCTTTCAGACATCATTTTTAATGGCCTGATAGGGAACTCTTAGGTTATTAGGTTTCCTTGAAATTTACTACGATTATTCTCAAGGTTGACATTGTTAATATTATAGGCACCATTATATATTCACTAGAAATGTGATTGTACCGATGCAAGCGAAATCAATATTATTTTCCCGTAGAAGAAAAATTCAATTGATTGATTTCGAAATGCATACAGATGAAGCCACTTTCACGCAAAGAAGGTGTGAATGGGTGAATAGAGAGCTTTAGGAATGCTGGAGTAGAAGCGGGCGAAAGGAGCTAATCATTAGAGGTAAAACATACCTCATCGAAAAATAGCGAATAGTCAGAAAGGTTTATCACAGTTATTCTCGCGAATGTTGCAACTTATAACTTGATAATGGTTGGCTTTTGTTGTGATGATTTAAAAGTTTGTAGACTTCTATAGTGCCCTTGGAAAAATTTCCACGTTTTGATAATCCTTTTAAGGAATATTAAGTTTATGGTCTGAATATTTAAAACAAATCTCGCATTGCCAACTTAGTAATTGAGTTTAATAAATCTTGCTTAATTTGTTTAGTGTATGGAAGAATATATTCTTCATGATTCATGTGTTGTAAATTTTGTAAATGAATGAAATTACAAGAGTAGGTTGTGTAAGTAGACTCGTTGTAATAATTCCGAGGTGATAAATGTAATCCATCTATCAATCACTCTTATACCTCATCTGTCAATCCAATTAATGTTAATGCTGTAATGAAATAAACGCGGCTATAATCATAATTTTATTTTCCAAACAAAAAAATTTAACGATAAAGGACATGTTTTTATGTATTGCTACAAATGACTAATATCAAATTTATTATCTTTTTACTTTCAACCTGCTATTAAAAATTGAATAAGATGTCCTTTAATTATGTTTTTATTATTACTAAAACGTATAATTTGCAGATATATCAGTTTTATTCAATTCAAATTATCTTAAATAAAACTTTAGTTAAATGTTTCTGGTTAGGTGAACTAAGCTTAATTGTAATTTGTATATGACTTGCTAGTATTGCAATTATTCTATTAAATTTCTGATGCACTTTGTGATATGAGTTTAAGGCTGATAAAGTTTTCTGAACTTTACAAATTTGCATCACCCCGGTCTTACGATAGGCAGGAATTTAATATTGACGGAAAATACTAAGATTATTGTCATTCCCTTAAAATTATAATGACAATATTTTTAATCAAAATTACAACCGATAATCTTTTTAAACAGTTCGTACTCACAGTCATATTATGTCATTGCTATCATTAACTCATAGATCACTTTATGTGAAACAAATTACTCACTACAAATTGAGGATGAGGAATATAACAGAGCGACCATTCATGATCTGTAGATATCATCTACAAAGTAATTATAGTTGTACTGTCTTATGAACTTTGCTTATTAACTTTGATCTCGAGATGTATATGCCAAATTCCCGACCACGTTAGTTATCGAGATTTAATTTTTACGCTAACTCAACCTTTAGGCCACCATATATGCCCACTAATAAATAGCTTAGAGTCTATGAAAGTTGAGTAATGTGGTTGTCAAAAGTGACATGATATTGAGGGAAGGCACTTGAAGGTCGGCAAAATGAAACACAATATCTATTTGCAACTCACTGCACAGTAGTGGGCAAGCCGAGTTAATTTAGAAAGTAAACAAATGACATTGTCTTCCACTTTAAATGTCAAAAAAGGGTTTCGATTAGCTTGTAAATGAGGTTAGAAATAAACGAACATTCATTCACAAATACCCTATTGCATTATTTGTTATGATGATTCAATAATAAATCATTAAATTCAATAATTTAGGTGACTATTTGAGTTTGATTGATTGATTCACCACAATATCAAAAAGATCGAAATTTAACGGAAATTCAATTTTTTGCAGGTAACATTAAACGATAATTTTAAATAGTTTATAGCCAAATTGAGACAACACGTTTTTACTTAATTATTCTGCATCGTAGAAAATTCTACTTAATAAAATTAGTAATAGCACAATTATTCAGAGATTTTACAGAGATCAACAAACTGTTGTGCGACTGCATATGAAATGGTCATTTTTTTGGATTTTAAAACATCAGCCAATGTCGAAAAATATTATTAACGTATCAAGTAACAGTTTTCTCAATGTGAATCCAAGACTCCCATAACTTAGTTACGGCATAACTAAACAAAATGAATCATAAAATAATTCAATTTTGATAAGTATTAGTAGTTTAAAGTGCCTTTAAGTACAAACATTTGGAAAATAACAGATACTAACGTAGTCTACTTAATATTATTAGTAATATTATTAAGGCAAAAGTCATATTTTTTATCAGTGAATAAGCATACTTTGTTTCGAATAAATACCGAAGAGGGTGAATTATGCTGCCAAATGTGTTTTTGAGCAATTAGACTAATTAAAACTATATTCTTACAACTCCAACAGATGCTTTAATCTCATTTATTCACAATTTCAGTAGAGAATGAAAATAAACTAGAACTCAAATAAAAGAAGTCTTTTGGCAAATTCTTGTTCAATTTTTTTCACGATATGTTCACGAACTTACACCAATAACTAAGTTAGTAGATTTACTGAAGCTCTCCATTCTCAATAACTTTTAAATTTTAAGTTTTTAGTCAAATCCTAAGATATTTTGCTACAGGTCTTAATGAATATAGGTTTTGAAGACAATTAGACTATTTGTCAATTGGCTTGTTGTAAATTCATCACTATTACATATGATTAGTGCACTGTACAAATTCGCACTTTTAACGCTGTAGTAATTTGGTTTCTCAAAAAAGGAGCACAATGGATTCCAAAGCTTTCGAGAAAATCGACTTTTACTTTATTGTAATACCTCGCTTGTGTCTGTTCATCATTTTGTTTGATTTCTTCATTTAACTGGGCAATTTGCAATAGAGCTCAACCTTGAAAAACATTATGAAGTATATATTTAAAATATTTGAGTTAACAGAATTGGAAGGCCAAAGTTATTCCACTTCCCTAAGTGGGAAATCTCCGCCAATTTCCTTGGAGCTCACAGAGGCATTTTTTATTGATTCATGATTATTCCGTTGTCACTTAATTGACGCATCCTTTCCAGACATTTAATACCTCACCCAGTTAGAGCTTCAGGCATTAGAAAGAAGTATTCTTACTTCATAGAATTTTAATTTGACCTAAAGGGTCCCTTCTATCCACATGGAACAAATTTTTGACATTATTTCATTTAGTTCTTATGCTATATCAACCATCTAATTTGATTTCCATTTCGACATAATGAAGCGAGCAGACTTACTAATGAGTTCCTACTTAACTGCTTTCATTTGAAATCATTTGCAGATAAGGGGTTACTTTTAAATGACAGTCTCCATGTCGCACCACTCCATTCGATTATGACCCTGAGATCAAAGATGATGCCTCATATTTAATAAATAGGATCACACCTCCGTTACATTCCAAAGATTTTTCGTGAATGAAATTTTCAACAGTGACTTAATGCTCATTTTCATATTTTTATTGTGCATCAAGGCACTTATACTTATTGTTTAATTTATGTTTCTTTAAAGCTCATTAATATCAAATATAGAATGCAATTTAAAACGCTTTCAATTTATCATCTCTTTATTTGTACTTTTATGTTCAGGTTTCTTTCATTGTTTCTATGAATTCAAATGTAAACCTTAAAATCTCAACCTCTCTCCTCGCGTGCCATTGAGAGACCAATCACAAATCAATTGCTATTCCAGGAGGTATAAAGTTGGCTCCCTAAACTTGAGGTAGAAAGTTGAATGCTTACCCCTCCTAGCTGCATTATGAAGTTGATTTGCAGTTGGCTTTTCATCGCAATTTTCTTGCATATTATTGGTATTGACGGCAAGCGATATACGCTCCCACCGGGTTCATGGTTTGGTGAAAGCGATCCTCATGATGGTTACCAACATCCAATCCACCCGGGTCCACCGAGTGGAGATTACTGGCTTCCACCCCCATCGGGTGGAGATAGAAAGTATCCAAACTCTCCGGACCCTTGGGGTAAAGAAGACCAATCTGGTGGTGGCCCGCCACCTTCAAGATTTCCGGGACTTTGGGATGGTGGCCCTGGCGATACAAAGGGATGGTAATGAAATTGATTTCAACTACTTTCTTCCAGCAAAATAAGCTACTATTTAATCCATCTCATATTTAACTGTAAAATCCATTCTTGCCTGAGTTTATATTGTTCTGTCTACCAGTATACATTTTCATGTAACAATGGTAATCAAATACTTAAACGAAACTGTTTGCTTTTAACTTAAACATGTTGGGTTGGCAAAAGATTGTATTTTTTGCAAACCATATGGAATAAATCATTGCTTTCATTTTACATTATAGTGTTATATATATATATATATATAATCGCAGGCTTTATGATATATTTCATTAGACTCTTAGTTGAATTCAGCTTTCCTCATCGGTATGGGTACATATATAGCAGTTAATTAATAGCAATTCGTAAGCTGTCTTATGGCTTCCCAGTATCTCTGGCTTTCCGTCGTTTTCTTTAGAGCTGAAAAGTGAATCAGGTGGGTCTTCTCCGTTTCCTCCTGTTGGTTACATAGGGAAGCATGCTAAATTATAATTCATTAATTTGCTGATCGTTTTGTGGAAGTGCGGTAGAGTTAGAACTAGATTATAAACCTGGATAAATAATTATTAAATTTTATTTCTTTCTCAAGACACATCTAACAATGACTTTGGTAGTCTCTATTAGGCCCTCACTGAATGAGATTGGACGGTTAAGTCCATGTTCACGAAAATGTCCTCCAATTTTGTGTTTAACGAAGACTCTATGCATAGGTAACATTTTCAGCTCCATACATTGGTTACAAACATCGGAAAACATGCCAGTCTAGGACAAAATTCCATATCATTGGAATCAACCTAACATAGATTTCTGAAATCTAAAAAGCATTTATAAACACAAAAATTACAAATAAAATACTGTTCAACGTTTGAATAACAAGTAACGCGAGAACACGCCGTCAGTAGTATTCACATACAACACGTTGCAGTTAGTTGATGTTCTTGCACGTTTGGGAGTATTAAACATTCCCTCGATAGAGCTACTTAAGAAATTGCTGCTAATTAGTGACCCCTTCTCTAGCAAGCATCATACAGCAAATAAACGCCCCCACCAATTTCCTTAACAGGTCTAAAGGATTTAGTATGAAATATTTATTTGTATCAAATAGCGGGCGTCTTAATGGTGACTAGTAGCTCTTTAGTTGCCTTCAGGCTTCACAGTGAGGAGGAGGAACATCAAAGTGAAAAAAAATCGAGAGGGAACGGATGAACAGAATTGTTTCAATAACAAAGGAAGAAAAGGTAGAACAGTAAGAAAAAGGGTGATTTGAGTACTGTGGAAGCAGTTGAATATGACATAGAGTGGGGTGATAGTAGTTTGAAGTCAGATTTTTCGACGTATGATTATACTTTGAATGGGATGCGCCACGAAGAGGCAAGTCTATCTCACAGCCCTAGCCTAAAATGTAATGCCCATCTTTCGCGCAACTTTTAATATGAAGTAAAAACCTTAACCTAAAAAGATATATTTCAGCTCAATTTTTTTATATGAAAGTACTATACAATCAGTGATTTAATGAACTTTTGAAGAAAACTGTCAGTTGCATGTCTTCTACTAATAGATCGACAAACCGCCTCGTGTTACTAAAATTAAGGTTTCCCTTCATCAAATGCACATCAAGATAAAAATAAACACGTTGGCGGCAATTTGCCTGTTTGGAGAACGTGTTTGTGTTTATCATTTCAAATACAATTTCCCACATCAGAATGCTAGTAGTTGGAGCAGAAAATTAGGTCTTAGGTAAGAATATTCAGATAATATATCCTTTTTAGGCAGTCATCAATATTGCAATCGATGTAATTCCCATTAACACTCATAGATGGAATCATTTGGAGTGGAAGAAGGCAAAATAACACCGGACCGGTTCGTGGCAATCTTTTTTAGAAAACAATTTGATATACGGTTAAGTACTAACCGAGAGCAAAATGTGAGAATCTCATTTCATTTGCATAGTATTGGTGCATTAACATGTTGTTCTCAAATTGCTTTTGAATCGAAGGAACAAGGAAACGTTTTTTGAATTCTTTTACTTTAAATAAGACGTCAAAAAATGAAAATATTGCTTTTTAAATTGCGTTATTCTTAACTTTTTAGTATACCGATTGATGTACCCGTATATCAATAATAATTAAATTTTTAGCTTTCAATTATAAAAATAATAAAAAAGTATGTTAACAATCGTTTTTTTTTTATGATGGACACTGGCTTTTCACATTAATTTTGAATGTCTTTACTGACTGATTGCTTAACAAATTAATTAAATTTAAAGAAAAGATCAACTTAGGATACCAAAACAATTTTCCAAACAGAAAAAAAGAAAAATATGATGATATTCTTGATCTCTAAAACAGGCTAAGGATATTTGTATGACACATAAAGTAATTCAATTTTGGTGCAATATTATCAGACAATTCAAATAATATGATATATTGACATTACACTTAAGATGTCATTGTTCAAGTTTAAAGCGTTCAGACAAATTAATTTGGCAGCATATTTCAAAAAAATAAAAGAACAAGATTTGATTGTTTGTTAAATAGGGAGGCAATAGGAAATAAATATGTATTTAAAAAAAGAATTGAAGTGAGGAAATCTCATGGGGATTTAATAAATAAGGAAAGAAAGCCTCACTTTTCAGCATAGCAACTAAGGGTAATTAGTGTACATTGAACTGCCAAAAAAATGCCAAAACCATGTTCTCTCATGTATTGTTGAGAAATAATATTAGTTTTGCTAATGAAAATACTTTTACTAAAGTTTTCAAAGGATATAACCCAAATAGGCATCATTTATCAGATTATCACCTGTAGAACGGCATCTCATTTTAAATTTTCTAGATTTTCTGAGCTTTTAACAAAATTACTGTTGCCTGACTCCTCAAAAAGATTACTCATCGTCAATGTAACGTTTTTGATAATGGAATTTTTTAATTTGTAAATACCGGCCGGTATATTGCTTCTAATTAAACAAAAAATGTACATCTTTTGCCTAAAACTTTGAATAAAAGGTTATAGATAAAAATCAATCAATAATTCTGATTTTGTTTATTTTGTTTACACAAATTAGAATTAAGGCTATTGAAATGAAAGGTAAATCTTGTACTACCTACAAAGTGGTTAATTTAAATAATTTGTGAACATCGGTTCTGAGAGAGCAAACGCAGTCCATCTTCCAATCGCTTTAATTGACGTTCTGTCAATAAATTTTATGTTAACTTTGCAAAATCTTGCAAAAATGAGGAACAAACTTTTATTTTTAAAAAATATATATAAAAGTAGAGTAACCACGTCCTTTATAACAAATTGCCATGATAATTTGAAGCTTCTGAATAACTGTTATCATACAACTTAACATTTTCGCATTCAATTTACACACAAAATTTAAAAACAGTCATTATTTTTACTAAAATGCATACTCTACAGATGTCTCAGCTTCATGAATTGTTTATTTCTAGTTAGTTGAAATGAACATTTTGCTCAAATCATTCAAACACTTTTCTATATGAGTTCGAAGTTGATAAATAATTTCAAATTCGCTAATTTGTTTCTCTTCAATAATAATAATAATAATGTTTATTTTTATCAGCGCTTTGTTGTTCGTGGTCAATATGTATTTGTGAAACACAATTAAATGGATAGCAAAAGTTCATTAAAAAATTTGCAGATTAAATGTTGCAATAAATCTTTTGCTTTTTTCCATCGTTTTCCAAAGCACTAGAGTTTATTGATTTACTCAAAATGAACGAACTTTCATTTCTTGAAGTAAATAACCCACAATTCACGCTCAAATTGCAGAAATATATGTAGATTTTATTGTCTACAAATCTTTAAGCCTTTAATTTATTGTCATGTTTCTCAATTTAAATTTAAAAGGGACTAAATCAGATGGCGTACGTATTTATAGTCCAACACAACATAGGTAGCATTGATACTATTTTCACTTCATCTAAAATAATTCCAAGTAATTGATTGGGGAAAGCAAATATGAGAGTTTAAGAATATTTAGAATAAATTGCGAACTGGTTTTCCTAATGTTTGCGATTTGGCGTTCAATAGACTCATTGAGTCAATATGGTGGAAAGGCGGTTAGAGCTGAAATGTAAATGTAGAAGAATGACTTAAGCGCAACTTTCGTCGAAAAAACAGTAGCTTTTGCTACCGCCTCTCATTGGTTGTTTCCTTTTCGAAAGCCCGAACCATAAACATCTCTTTAAGGAAGTGGTTTTTATGTGTTTTAATACTAACTCCTAGCTCCAAGGAAGAGATCAGTAAATTTGTCTTAATTAACAAAATGTTTAACAAAAGGCCTACTCATGTATTAAAGTAGGAGCAATAATTTTGATTAAATAATTATGACTACAATTAAATTGGGCAGAAGCGTTAGAATTCAAGCTAAATTTTACATAAGTGGAAGTCAAAGTGCTCGTACCCCAATTGACCATCCAATTTTATTTCCATGTGGAAATTTAAAAGGAGTATGTACTCAGGAGGGCGACGCCCGCTAAACCAAAGTCATGAACCAATTTGCGGAGTATTTGCTGTCAATCGGGTTGTTGATGTGTACAGTTTGATTATATTGAGACCAAGTTGGGCTATAGCAGTTGTGCCATTCCTACTACGATGACTGAATGTTGTCATCGTTAATTGAATTAAGTTACTGACAATGTCCTATTGTTATCGGTGGTCACTTTCGTTATGGCTTCATTATGTCATATCCTTAAGCAGTGGTTCATTATCTACTACTTGGTATATCTGATTTGCATAAATCAAGAAAGCTAGCAAATAATATATTGCTTCAATTAAATGGTTACTAATATTCATGTTTTTTTAATTCACATATTAAACTGTACACTTTTCACGTTGGTGTAATCATGAAGAACCTAACGTAGTACATATTAAAGTTGTCTATTTTCACAGGATTAGATAACAATTAATATTACTCAAACTAGAATGTAAAGGACAAAGGTGATTTTCAAGACTTGGTGCCATCATTGATTAC